TGGAACAGCAGTTGCCTACCTCCGCGGCGCATTGAAGCCGTCAGTTGTCATGGTGGTTCCCGACGAGGCACGGCGCAACTTGGCAGCCGTCTCCCGCCTATTTCCTTCCGTTCGATGTCGTTTAAGGGATCTGGGAAAATGGCTTAGTCGCATTAATCAGCTTTGCCTTGTTCCGAGACAACCAGATTAACACGAGTCACGAAAACCTAATCGGGATAATATTACAGACGCACCAGAGCTATTCCGTGGGTGGATTGAACCTATAGGGTATTTCAATATTAGTAAAATTGGAATTTAAGGTGATTCGATGGACGCCATATTTTGTGTCAAAACGACTTGCAATATATCGCATCGATTGGTTCCATTTTTTCAGCTACTCGTCATTTTTCTCTAATTTTGAGATGGCAGTTCTGTTGTCAGGAGACTAAAGAATTCACTTGCCCGTTTGGACAAACAAATTCAACTTAATAAAGGTGTGGTTTTTTTAGAAGAAAAATATAGCATTCGAGTGCAGTTTCGATACCAGTATCGAATGCGATATTTTTCCTCTTAAAAAAACCACGCCTTTATTAAGTTGAATTTGTTTGTCCAAATGGGAAAATGAATTCTTCAGTCTCCTGACAACAGGGATGCGATTTCAAAATTCGAAAAAAATGACAAGTAGCTGAGAAAATGGAAATAATCGATGCGATATATCGCATGTCGTTCTGACACAAAATATAGCGTCCGTCTTATCACCTTAAATACTTGGCATCGATATACTTGGACCGCGTTAAGCAGAAAGGAACCAAGCCACGTCAGCTATGGCCACATGTAATTTGGCAATTTAATTTTTTACAAAAGAACGCTTTTGCTGATTTCTTTGAAAATTTGAAGGAATTTACTTCGTACGATGCAGACAATTCACTGACATTTGCATAAAAATCCGCACAACCGCTTTCATGTAAAAAATTAAATTTCCCAATTAATATTGGCAATAGCGGATGCGCCTTGTTTCCTTTCAGTTTACCGCCACTTGGTATCCACGCGTACTGGGTGTGATGGATATTCAAATCCGGGTATCACTTTGTTGTTTTTTGATGAAAACGCACTATAATTTTTAATGGACGTGAAATATCCAAATTACCATAGATAAAAACAGTCATATCGTGTGTAAATCACTGAAAATCGTTACGCAATGTTTCGTTGCCTTATGTAACTTTAATCCAACCTCTTGTAACACCTTGTAACTTTGTCAGCCCTTTCTCATCCCCTGAAGTATTACGTAATTTAGGGATGACCGATAATGGATAATGTTCCAGGCTCAACATTGCTGTGGTGTGTCTCAGCCTCAGCTCAATGCCCCATATCGACATATTGGACGTATTTCTGCCAAACGGAACCAGAAACAGGTGGGGAAAGAGGGGTGTGCTCGTATACTGCCGTGCTAAGGAAAAACGCCGTATGAGCATTTTAATGTTGCCAAATCTCCTTTCAGAAAATGTCCATTTTTAAAGAAAGTTATGAATATATTTCCTTGACATTTCCGGACCTTTTAGATCGACTTTCGAACAAAATCCTCCGAAAAATCGGAGGAGAAATACTCACAAATTTTCCTGCAAATTCGTTGTTTTTCGAAGGAAATTTGGCAACGCTTAATGGCTCATACGGCGTTCTTCCTTAGCACGTCAGTATAGAACCTAATGTTTTTTTCAGCATTGTGGAATAAATCCTACCAGAGATACATTGTATCGTGCATACCTCACCTCACCCAAATAATTTCTGTGTAAGGCCGATTTGTTGTACGTAAAGTAATTGATGGAAACAGGTTCACGCGCGGCGGAGTAAATATAAAGCTACGGAGTGTCTACACGAGATGTTTACAAATCCCAAAGTCTGAACTTCAAGGGTTTAAATTGATGTGGATGTAGGTTTGATACGGGCGCGTTGCCAACCTTCGCTCGGGCGAAAATATTTTTCCGCGGGAGAAGACCACTGGTTATGCGTTAAAGCCTGGTCTTACTAGATTCGATTGTGAGCCAAAATATTTGCATCGGTATTGTTATTATTGCCAGCTCGTAGATTCTTGGAGGAATAGCTCGGTTTTAATTGGTGCATGAAGATTTCTGTAATTAGTGCATAAAAGGGTTGAATGGTCTCTCAATGATTGTTTGAGGCAAATTTCTAGAAAAATAGTATTTTTTCATTTTGAAAAACATTTGATGAGTAGCATTTCATTTTTATATCGGCCAAAGCACCACAAGCGCTATGCGACGTTAAACAATTTCCGCCGCCATTTTAATTTCTTAATGGAGGAATCGTTCAATGAAGCTTTCTTAAAATTTCACTGAATTTTCTTTGTGCTGCCAATAAAATTCAGTGAAATTTTCAGACAGATTCAACCAACAATTTCTCCGTAAACAAATAAAATTGCGGCAGATATTTTTTAAGTCGCATGGTGCTTATGTTTTTTTAGCCCAAGGGTGACGATATATATTCACAGTGTAGCAAAAAAAATTGTAATCATTAAAAAATGATTCAAACATCACATTTATGCAATGAAAATGAATTTAGCTTCGAAAATGGTGGATACTACACTAGTGACTACTACACTAGATACTACACAAAATTTCTTTATACATGTTCATTCGAAACACTTTCAACGTCAAAAAATCTGGATTAGGAGAGAGTGTTTGATACAACGTGGAAAGCTCCTTTCAAAGGGAATGTCGTACCCAATTCTTGCAGAAACCAGTAGACTTGAATTAATGTAGTTCGGATGAAATCTGTGTGGAAAGTTCAGTATCTATTTGGGAAGGTAAATTTTGTGATGCTATAATTTAATCGAGTCGTTAAATTTTTGTATGACGTAATTTGTGAACCATTATAAGTCAGCTTCCACACAAATGACAGTACATCCAAATAGTGATAGTTACATACAAGACCTCTCTCCGTTATAATCTTATAATAAATTGATTCATAACGATGTCCCAAGATCAATCTTAATCAAATTGATTGGACAAAAGATTCGAGTCAAAGAACCTTGCATAATACAGCCCAGTAGTTGGTGCGTAACGTAGAACGTAGATGGCGGAGAAGGGTAGAAATGTCGATTGAGCGCACGTTAGTTCTTTCATTGAATTATTGGTTTACATTAGGTGATGGTTAGCGTGGATTGGTATTAACTCAATTTACTTATTCACTGTAAATATTGCTTCAAGTTATTATCGAATGCTAACGCGGGGAAATGAGGAGACTGTTGAATAAAGTTGAATGAAGAAAAGAGGCATGTGTTTGACCAGCAAACACACCGAATAAAAGAAAAGAAGAGAAAATTGGTCGTTATAAGGCCGAAACCTTGTATTGAACTATGCGTGGAGCGCTTTACTAACTCATTAACTCTGACTTTTATGGCGAGGGATGTGCTGAATACTCTCTGATAAAAAAGGGCGAAGAAAGAAGGAAATCGGAGGACGGAAACATCGCAAATTCCACACACTAGACTTTTTTTTTTAAAAAAAAAAAAAAAAGTTCAAGATTTTAAATGAACGTCTGAGTGCATTCATTACACTGTAAATTACTGTCCACTGTCTTATATGATTGTAATTCTAGGTATTGGTTTTATTCGAGGTTTCTGAAGCAAGGAATCAATTTTCTCTTTTCAATAAATAATTATTTCACTCAATCAATAATTTTACCAGCCCCTATTTATACGACATCCATGTAATATTCCCCAGGATCCTCGGTAAAATTATTTTCCATTTCCTACTTTTCTCCCTTTAAAAAATAGCAGCCTCTTTATTTGTTTCATTTCTTCACCATCGATTAAAATTTATCACCCTAACCATTACCAATTTATATTAGTTTATCAATTATTACTAGCTGCATTTGACGGCTCGCTCAGTGATATTCCCAAGGACTTTCAAAAAATAATTTTCATTTCAATATTTACCTCTATCATTATACCGTATTTTAAAATGTATCACCCTATCCATCACTAATTTATATTGGTTTATTAATTATTGGTAGCTGCATTTGACGGCTCGCTCAGTGATATTCCCAAGGACCTTAAAAAAATAATTTTTATTTCAATATTTACTTCTGTCATCATACCGTATTTTAAAATTTATCATCCTACCCATTATCAATTGGACGATGGACACATTTATGCTAAAATGAACTATGTGCATAGGATTTGCATGTAACATAGTTCCTTTTAGCATAAATATGTCCAATTTATATTGGCTTATTAATTATTACCAGCGGCATTTGACGGCTCGCTCAGTGATATTCCTGTGAACCTTAAAAAAATAATTTTTATTTCAATATTCACTTTTATCATTATACCGTATTTTACAACTTATCACCCTATCCAGTACCAATTTATTTTAGTTTATTAATTATTGCTAGCCGCATTTTACGGCTCACTCAATGATATTCCTAAGGACCCTAAAAAATAATTTTTACTCCAATATCTACCTCTATCATTATACCGTATTTTAAAATTGATCAACCTATCCATAACAAATTTATTTCTTTTCCTTTTTCTTCTTCTTCTTCTTCTTTTTATTTTTTCTTATTTTTCTTTTAATTTATTTTAGTTTATTAATTATTACTAGCTGCATTTTACGGCTCGCCCGCCAATCATAAAAACACCCTTGGTTGTATTCTTAAGGGCCTTAAAAAATTAATTTTTCTTCAATATTTACTTCTATCATTATACAGTATTTTAAAATTTATCAACATATCCATAACAAATTTATTTCTCCTTCTTCTTATTCTTCTTCGATTTATTTCTTCTTATTTTTCTTTTAAATTATTCTATTTTTTAATTTATTTTAGTTTATTCATTATTACTAGCTGCATTTTACGGCTCACCGGCCAATCATAAAAACCACCCTTGGTCTAGCCTCCAGCGGCGAGGACGGCGCCAACGTGGAGGACCGGACCACGCGGCCATAAAGCGGGTAATTAGTTAATTAATTAAAGGGGGTCGTGAGCTGGGCGAGGGGGGCGCTTACCCTTTTGGGGACGTAGGATCCGACGCTGCCTCGGCGCCGCTCAACGTAGGACTCGGACTGCTGCGGCGAGGGCGGGCTCGGACTGGGCGCAACGGACATCATAGCAACACAACGACACGCACCGGGAACGCGATAAATTCTACTGACGCCGCGGCTCGCCACGTCCGCCACCACGACGTTCGTTGTCACGCACCCCGCGGCTCCGCGCAGGTTCAACCGAGGTTGTCGGATTCTGCAGGGAGCACCCTGGCTGACAGTGTTAATTAGCGAGTTTCTCGCACGATATGGCAATGTTCTTACAGTTTAACGTGGTGAGCGCCTTCGAGTTGGAGGAAGGCAACACATCGTGCGCGGCAAGTGGGGAGGGTGAACTTAGAGTCCCTTTATACTGAGAGTCAAGACAATGTGAATCCATTTCTGATTGGTTCCCGTATTTTAAGCCTTCACAGTGTCACAAACGAGAGTAAAGATTACAGTTTCACCGACTGCAAAGATTATATTCTGGAATGGACCAGGGAATTACGGGTTCGGCAAGGAACAAACGGAATGAGAGAAGGAACGGAGAAAGGAATTTGAGAATGGGTCGATCAAGATCAGATTACGAAAAACGTTCAATTTCTATAATCTTTATTCCCGTTTGTGACTCCATGAGGGGGTGTTGTCTTGACTCTCAGTATAAAGGAACTCTAGGTGAACTTATCCGAGTTTAAAAGCTAAATGTTTTCACTAATTTTAACCTATTTGAACACAAAGAAATCCAAAATCAACTCGCCCATGTCCGAAATACTGAATTACTGACCCCTAAAGGTGGAGCACAGAGCCCCCCTTCGAATATGTAAGTTAGCTAAATTGACGTAGAAATTGACGTAATTGACGTTTGAAAAATGGGAGGGTATGGAATTATGGATTCGATCGAGAAAAATTGATCGAAAAATGAAAACGTGAATGAAACATGAATCGATCGACAAATTGTTAAAAAACCGATGTCGATTTGATCGACATGAATCGATCGAAAAACAAGAACGTGAATTGATCGGCGTGAATCAATCCACACAGATTCGATCGACAAAATTCGATCGATTCAAATAAGGTTTATCGATCGATTCACGTTCTTGTTTTTCAATCGATTCATGTCGATCGAATTGACACGGTTTGTTTTTCAATTAAGTGTCGATCGAATCTGTGTGGATTGATTCGCGCCGATCAATTCACGTTCTTGTTTTTCGATCGATTCATGTCCATCGATTCACGTTTTCATTTTTCGATCGATTCATGTCGATCGAATCCATACCCTCCGAAAAATGATGTTTTCAAGGGTAATTGCCAACTAAATCTCCGTGAGCGGGATACCTTCCATTACACCTAGTAGTTTTTATAGACAATTTGTCAAACTAAATCCAGTTGGCCAAACAGACTGCTCAACTTTTTGGGGGTTGGTCATCTTGAGGCGATTCTGAGTGTGGACTACAGAAAATTACTGGAAATTTTGCAATTAAGAACTACTACTGCCGGCATACTTAACAAACAGCGTATGTGGAATTAGTTGCTCTATGTAAATAAGTATGCTTTCATAAGCGAGTCAGAAAGTAGTTCCAGATTGCAAAATGAAGTACAACATATTGTAGTTCGACAGGTGAAAAGGGGAGGGAGAGAGGAGGGTTAAGAGCGAGAGGAACAAAAGAAAAAAACGCGGCTGAAGTCAAAATTATGGAATTCCTGTTTCCAATGTAAAGAGTTTTGTAAAACTCCCCAGCAATATTTACAATGAGTCAAAACTTCGTCATAAAATGCAGCGGCTTATAACTCAGGAAAATATAACGACGTCGGAAAGAAAACGTCAATTCTTATCGCAGTCAATCATCGAATGACGTCCGTAAATCGATTTCTAAAAAGTGACGACCGCACCCTACCATTCAGGCGCGCTGCTGTCTCAGCTATACTGCCGCACTGAGGAAAAACGCCGTATGAACCTTTAGGCGTTGCCACATTTCCTTTGATAAAACAAAAATTTTCTCTTAAATGTGTGAATATTTTGCTTCTAATTCTTCAGATAATTTTGTTCGCAATCTAACCTAAAGCTCCTGAAAATTTAAAAAAAAAAAAGATTCATAACTTTCCTCCAAATTAAATCTTGTATCGACGGAAATTTGGCAACTCTCGGATGTTCATACGGTCTTCTTCCTTAGCACGGCAGTATACCCCGAGGTGTGCCCGGAGGGTATTTTTTTTATTATTTTTCCCACCAACTATAGCGTCAGGAAAACAACTCGGCACTCAGCAAAACAAACAAAACGAGGTAAAAGTATTTGAGGTCATGGACGAACATTAACTCTTTCAAATAATGTTTGATTTTCCATACGAGTATTTATTCAAATGTATCTACAGCAAAACCATTAAATTGTGTTTTTTTCTACGTTTCAGAATTTCTGCTCTTACCTAATTACAACTGGTCATCTGATTTTATTCTCAGAACTCTCTAACTCGATAAGCTTTTTTTTTTTTTTTTTTTTAAACAGTTGGACAATCTTAGCAGCATTGGAATACTCTTGGGTCCTTCTTGCAAATTGCAATCCCTATCATATACCCACTTCAGTGTACAAATGGTTGCGCCGATGATTTCCTCTTTCAGTGATGCGAGCGTATGTCTACATTCATAAACCTCATTAACTTGAGATAGGTGAAAAACTTTCCTTCATTTTTGTGTGATACCACATCACATACATACTCCAGAGTTTGAATAGTTACGCCGTGTAACTTACGCGCTTGATTTCCACAATTCCACATTCAACGCTGGGAGTGAGACTGCGAGAGCATGATGCCTACATTCATATCCATCGTCGGTAATTTCAGACGGGTGAAAAGCTCAGAATTTCCTTCATTTTCGAGCGATACCACATAACATACTTACTCCTGAGCTCGAGTAGTTTCGCTTTTGGTCTCCGCATTAAACGATGCGAGCATAATACATAAACGTCAGTAATTTGAGACAGTTGAAAAACTAGGATTTTCCTTCATTTTGGCGTTGTATCACATCACATACCTACTACAGTATCCGAATGTTTGCGCGCTTCATGAACGCAATGATTTGAGATAGGTAAACAGCTAACATTCTCCTTCATTTTTGCGTAATACCACACCACATACCTACTCCGGAGGTCGAACAGTTGCGCCCATGATGTCCGCATTCAAATAAATCGGTGAAGTCGTTCGTAAGCCCATTCAGAAACTGCAGCTAACTGTAACCCATTTTGTTGCGTGGTGCCACAAGACATTTATGTTGAATTTTGTCACACTCATTTTTCATGATTCATACAGCCAAACAGCACCAGTGATCTGTAATCTGTGGCTAAACATGTGACAATTTTTGCTGCGTGGCACCACGAGTTGTGGCTAAAAGAAATTTAATCGACTGAAATTCCGTGTATGTGGCGTATGAGAAAATGATACAGAAAATAAAAATTGATCCATGGGGGGTTTTTTTTTTAAAAAAAATATTTATTTGCATGTGTTTTTTTTCCTTTCTGAAGTTTTTGTTTCTAGATTATCATCATTTTAGCTAATGCTACATTTTTGCACATTTGCTGAAAATAACAAGCACGACAAATAAATTTGATTACCTGAAAGGAATGCTTAAACTATCGCTTTAAAAAAAAAAAAAAAAAAAAAAAAAAAAAAAAAAAAAAAAAAAAAAAAAAAAAAATTAATCTACATGCGGGACCCGTGGGACCTTAAAAAAGTGTACGTTTAACCTCCAAAAAGAGTCTTACCACTTTAGAAAGCATACAGTTGCACTGAGATTGAAAATCATTTCTTCTTTGAGATTTGCGGGCGACTAAAACGAAGCCCGTCAATTTAAATTTTGCCGCCGAATTTCAAATTTACCGCCAGATCTCATGCGCATTATGAAATGCGCGATGAATTTTACGCGCGAAAACTTTTGTAAACAAAGCAGCAAGGTTTGAGTTTGAGGTTAGGTCCATTTCAAGGTGTTGATAAACATGTTGGTCCAGAATTATTTTATTCCATAAGTTTTTCAATTATTTACATTTTTCATATCTTTCACAAAATGCGTGTGCATAATTTGAAGTTTCTTTAAGTCCATGTCAAGTGCCTTTTTCCTTGCTTAGGATCTCATTTTCCTGCTCACAAGTAGTCATCAATAAGTATGTCGGATTCATCCAGAGCGAAGAAACAGATCATAAGTGCCTTTCAACTAGAAGGTTTCTCATTGAAAGGGTAATGGTTTTCATTTCATTAACCGCAAGTTTTTCATTCATCTGCTTATGTCGGTGGTTTTGTATCTGTTACTAATGAGTCTGACCATTCAAATGAAGCGACTCCACTCAGGATTTACGAATGAATGCCTTTATCAGCATAAGTTTAGAGATGGTTGATTTAGTGGCCGCATCATTCCAAACGATGTATCTGATGTCTCTATTTAAAACTAATGCCTAAATTTTTGAAAGATGGTCTGTGGAGAATACAAGCTGTAGACAAATTCGCAGTTTTGAGTCTGAAGTGCTCTGGAACTTTACTCTCGAGACTGCAATGATTCATCTGCAAGTTTTAGATTTGAGAATGTTAATGAAGAGTTAAGAACATCAAAAAGTTGCCTAATCAATAGGATTGATTGATTTGATTTTTATTGATTACGAAATCTGCTTTGATCGCTCTATTTGAACGGACCTCTGCTGCATTAGCGACTGATAATGTTTTCAGAATACTTTTCTAGTCCTAGATATCATGATTAGTTAGGGGCCATGTGAATTCATTGAATGTGACTTTCTTTTTTAGGGAAGCCTGTGATTATCTAGCAAACCAACTCTCGGCTGTGGGTTATGAAGATAGGAATGAATGGATAGAAAAGCTTATCGAGTGTCTGCAGAAACAGAACATAGAATCTTTAATTCTGAATAAAGAACAAGTTGAAACAGCATTTGTGGTAAGTCTCTGTTTTACATATTGTCCCTCAGAATCAAGCAAGTATTCAAAATACAGCCACATTCAAGTCTTCCATCACAAAAATTTGCTGAATTGTCAGTAAACAGTTGTTTCATAAGAAATGAACTTTGTCAGGTCGTAAGTAGGTGAATTTGGAAAACAGAAAACGTCTACATGACCAATCAACTATCAAATTACCATGAATAGAAGCACAGGGATAAAACACCCCCCAACAAAAATGTTTACATCGTATCTTAGTCATCAGTGCTTGCTCTTAAAAATCAGAAATTCTCATTTAGAAAAAAGAAAAATCATTTTGAGTGAATTTTTTTTCCAATACTATGCTGTTTGGAGCAATACATGTTACAACCAATGAAAATGGCGACTGCAGATGCATTTCGGATCAAATCAGACCCATCATCAGAACAGCGTAGCCTCCCGACTTACTGCCTCCAAGTTCAGGAACATCAAGCGACTCCAAGTCAAAGCATTAGGTTGCGGCGGCAAGGGACCTTGCTGCCATTAAGTGAGTGTTCAACCTAGCCGAAACTGCAGCTGGTTTCAAAAGCAGACAGTAAAAAGGGAAAGAGCAGAAAAAGTTAAAAGGGGAAAAATAGGAAAATTACTGTGTCTCTGTAAGTTACTATGTTATTTCATTGTCGAGGAAACTTAGTGTGGTTTTAAAGGGAAATTCATTTGTAAATGATTTCTTTCCTAATTCGTTACTGTCTGTTTTTCACGAGCAAGTATTGATGGCTATGACATATTGTCAACATCTTATTGTCAACATCTTTGTCTCTAATATTAGAGGTGCTGCATACCCACCTCCTGGTTATCCTAACATCAGTTGGTTCAGTCAGGTATGAGTTCTTTTTGGTTAAACGCTGAGTTCTTTTTGGTTAAATGCGCATTAGACGGTGGTAAATTTGCTTGCCATTGTAGCTGCTTGCCGAAAACTCAAAGTTTTTTTAAGGAGGCTTCAAAACTTGGAAGCAGAAAGATAGGAGACTGCACTTGACTTTACTGATTATGGATCCAAACAGATCTGAAAAGCGTTTATAGTTGCCTTCCTGATTAGTCGTAATCAGTGCTGCTCCAAACAAGTAGGTAACTCTAACTGGAAAAATATATCCTAAATGAATTTTTCAATTTTTAATGAGACTCTCTGTTTTTCATTACCAAGCAACTGTTGCTCCTATGTAATGTCAAGACCTTTGTCTCTCTTAATGTTAATAGCTTTTCCCCTTATTTTTTATAACTTCTATTCTATTGTTGGTCATTCCTTTACCTACCTATTTCTGTCAGGTCACCCTAAAATATTGAAGTTAACTCTTTTTTTCCTTTTTTCAGGAAAGCTTTAAAGTTGGCGAAGAGAGCAAAGAAATAGAGTTAAATGTGATTTCCGTTTTTGACATTCCTCACTTTTACTTCGATATTGATGAAAAAAAATTCTTCCAAAAACCAGCATCGAAGTTCAAACCCCTTCTATGTGGATCAGCAGCTTCGAAAGCCAATTTATTTCGCGAAAGGCAAGTTTTATTTAAATGTTTTCAATCCTATTTTATTTTTAGCTCTTGGAATTGTATCTCAGTGTGAAAGGTTTGATGAAGTTGCAAGAAATGGTATGCACCATTTCAATGAAATTTTAAAATAAGCAATCTTTAATTCATTGCACACAGATTCACTTTTTTGAGGTGAACGTAGGAGCTGTAATCAGATAACGATTCTCTCTATCCAAAGATGTCCGTAAAAAACCTTGATTTCATTAAGGTATCCTATTCATACCTCTGAGCTATGAGTTGTCCCATCTGTGTGCATTGTTGACAGATATCACCATTAGTAACAAATATCAAAGCTAGTCTTTTAAAAAATTCTTTCAGCTATTATCAGAGAGAAGCGAAGACCCTCCAATGGTATTTTGGCAATGGTGGAAGCTTTTAATTTTAGGACTCCAACATTCAGCTTTCAACATACCACCTTAGTTGAGCAATATGTTGAGTATTTTGTCACACGATCAAGCAAAATTTTGGCAAACTTATTTAGCATGTTAAGACCTTCTAAAGATCGTCATCAGATCCATCATCTATTGAGTAGGTACATCAACAGTCAACACAACAATGATGACTGTTGCTACCTTATAATTGTCCAGAAGGATATGTTGAACCTCTGGAAGTATAAGTTTCCAATTCTTGCCAAGAGGTTAGTCAGGTTGCCCTACAGCCTACAGGCGCTATGCATGGATTTTCAAAGGCTATCATGGTTGAAAGAGTAATACTTACACCTCTTGTGATTTCAAGATAAATTTGATTTAAGTCAAAATTGACCTTGATAATTTGGAAGGCAAATATTAAGGCGAAGAGAATAGTTCTCTTGTTCAGGTTTTCAGTAAAGTGTATGTTGAAAGACTTTTTGCTGAAAATTACCAATTTGTTAATTTAAAGTAACAGAAAAAGTAATATAGTGTCTTTTCCCTCAATACCTTTCATCAATCTCCCTAGTTTTCAGTCAATCAATTCAGAAGAACTCTGATGAGGGGGAAAAATTTTAGACAAATCATCGAACAATCTGACAAACGATAAGTGTTCACTAATGAGAGAGTTTTCAAATTAACCAAGATTCGTGAAAAGTTTTATTAATGATGGGGATCATTATCTATACATATTACCATTTCTCTTACTTGCCTTTTTTATCCTTTGCAGATATTTTATTTTAAAGCAACTCGTAGAGCGCAATGAACTTTTTGCTCCATCTTTACCTGGGACTAATGAAGGTACGAGGACTAAACTAAAAACAGTAGACTATTTCCTAAGCACTACCAAGAAGATTGATGATTGTGTGATTTTGGGACTTTTGACCCAGCTCAAAGAAAGGCGCTTCTACCTTGAGGATCCAACAGGCCATTTGGAAGTGGACCTCTCACAAGTCATATCCTTTAATCCAAAACTTGGGTTCTTATCTTTCTATGTTAGAATCCGAAGCACAAATCAGTTTGGTTACTTATAGCACTCTCTTATTTGTGAGCATCAAGAGTGGAAAACGAAAAAATAAACTGCAACATATAATAACATGACTTTGCATAGAATTTTATTATTTGAAATAGTCTACTTTTCAATCGCGATTGTCAGATCTAAAGATGTATTGTTAAAGTCAACAACTGCCCTATGAGCATCGAGCTCAATGAGAGCGCCGGGAAATTTTTGTGAATTTACCCGTTTTCCTAGATGACTGCTCAGCAAACTGCCCAACAGCTCAGTAAGGTTCTGGCTGCTGCCAAGTTTGCTGAATTGTTCTGTTATTTTTTACATCAATACCCACCATTTTTTTGCACTTCTTTGCCAGACTGATTTGCACATTAAACTGTGTCAATTTCATAATCATGTGGGTGTTATTAAAATTTAATCCTCTTAAAATTACAGTAAAAGTACCAAAACATAATCTCCAAACCATCTCAATCCAATAGAAATTTATCAATGGCACCTCGATTATCTTCCGTCTGTTGAGCTGACGTCGTTGTTGAGATGATGTCATCCCTGCTGAGAGCCAGTCATTTTTGTTGGGCAGCAGAGGTAATCAACAACGCACCTGAGGAAAGCACTTGACTGATTTCTGTAAATGCAGTACAATAGGAACTTCTAAAGAGATGTTTTTTTTTGTATATTCATTATTTTTCACTTTCTATTGAATCCTAGGCTACTCTCAATGTAGCTGTGTGAGCCTTTCCAATTTACCAGGCGAAAAGTTCTCAATGAGTTAGGGAACATCTAATTGCAATCATGCATTAGTTGTTTTAAGGCACAAATGTATTCCTCTGAATATTTTTTTTGTTCTCCTTAACTCTTTCGCACACCTATCATCGAGGTTTCATCACTGAAGGTAGTTATGTTCTCGTCGAAGGATGTTATGAAGATCTGAAGTTTCACGCAACTGGTGTTGCTTTGCCTCCTCCGGAACCATCCTTTGAGAGTCGGTATGTTTTTATTTTCTATCATCTAGAGTTATTCAATGCAGAGTATAACAGGTTTAAAGTGTCTAGTATCAATGTTAAAGTATGTACTATTGTGCTGAAATATTTGCTTTTTTTCCTCTTTTTATTGCCAATTATAAGCTGTCAGTTCTCTTTCCCCAAGAGATGGCAGATTTATTTGTTTGTATCATACATATACCATGCTTCCTCCTGTTTGGAGCAAACAAAACAATACTAACATTGTTGAAACGTAAGGACTTAATCTGAACCTTCTACGTTTATACAAACTGATGGTGGTTTGACTCTTGAGTCGTTTAGACAGAATTTTGGTGATTTTATCGAGGTGCGTTATAATTACTGTTATGAGAGTTTTAGTTTTGTACTGAAATTCAAGGCATGTTCACAGACAATCATTTTGACCAACATTTCCGCTGTATTAATTTCTACTTTATCTTTTCAATATGCCTATCTCTAGGGTTTTCTTTGATCTTTTTGATTAAGTATTTCTAATTTAGGTAAGCGGATTCAGCTGTTGGAAGCATGAAGAATTGCACTTGTATTATTTAAAAGTTTCTCTAAAAATTAAGATGTTTTCAAACTTGTAGTCGCTAAAAGTTTAATTTTATCTTAATTTTCAATTTGAAGTTTTTGGAAAATACTCAGAAACTTTTAGACAGAAATATGGAATGGTTTTTCTATGGAAAAAAAAAGAATAGAATGTCAGGGAAAATTCTGAAATGATGAGTTGAAAGTCAAGTTAGTCACTCCAATCATGCCTCCCATTCCTTTTATTTCTTTTTTTGTCCTCTATGATTGCAAGATTTTTGTAAATTATCTCAGCTATTCTAAGTATTAACTAAAAATTGTACCATCGTTTCTTTCAAATTTTTGAAGATCTAACTCTATAGAAATTTAAATCAGCAACTCAAGCAGAGAGAATTGCTTGGTAGACCTAATTTTGGCTCATTCCATCTTTTTACTGAAAAACACCAGATCTTCGTTTATTTGGTGGTGAGGTTTTCTCTTTAATGTTTTAGAAGGATCCAATGCCTCTTTTCAGGGTTTGTTTAAGGTTTCTCTGTTGATTTTTAGAAACATCTTATGCTTATTTTCAGAGTTTTATTCAACAATGTTAACACATTCGGTGGACCCCTAGAAAAAGACATTCACAACTGTGCCAGGTTGCTTAAAATAGAAAAAGAAAACGAGCATTCAATGATAATTTTTCTCTCCGATGTATGGCTGGACAAACCAGAGGTGAGATATTTATCTACAGCTTTTACACTTTTTTTTGCAATGAGTAGTATGTGCTAACCCATTGAAGAAGTGTGAACAAAAAAATTATGCACTTTGGGAGCAGGCAGAACCCATTTTAGATAACTTTTGATGTATGCTGGGGGTAAGGAATTCCCTATTCTGCTTATGCAGCAAAAAAGGGAGATTTATCGGAGAAGAGCTTCGGGAAATAACAGATATTCTGAATTTTTAGGAAAGAAAAAAAAGCTTTTAAGTGAATTTTTAAATAGCCGTAAAAGTCCCTCCAAAAATGTGAAATTCAAAACATTTTACATCAACTTCAGTGTTTGAAATGAAGAATATAACATCGGAAAAATTTCGCGGGCATGTTTACCAATACGCTATGATTGAACAATTATTGAGGCTAAATAATAACCTACCGTTAGTGCCTACAGATACCTCGCATTCTAATTTTGGACTGTTGCGGAGGAAAACTTGTGCTAATAATGCTGTTAAAGAATTCTTGTTTATAACTTGCACTGCAATTCTTAGCCGAGTAAATTAGAAAATGATGTGGGTTTTCGATGCTCTTTCTTTGGACCCTCACAGTGACTCATTGACATTTTTCCGATGCATCAAAAGGGTTTCCTCAAATTCAATTTGCGACCTTGTTTGAAGCATAATTTTTCTAAAAGCCAAACCTATGTCTTTTAAATTTTTGTTCTCAGGTACTTGAAAAACTACAAATGGTTCTAGGAGGTTACAATGATTTCCCCCCTGTAGCAATCGTTTTAATTGGTAATTTTGTCTCAAAGGCAACAAAATATCTTTGTGCCAAAACGCTGAGAGCAAAATTCAAGGAGCTAGGAGAACTAATAGTCAAATTTCCAAATTTAACGGCCAAAACGAAGTTCATCATTGTCCCTGGACCCGGTGATTCTCCGCATGCAAATATTCTACCTAGGTATTCAGATTTTTCCTCTTTATTGCAATTTTCTCTTACATATACAGGCATTATTCAGATCAAGAGTAAAGAATTTATCTTACCACTGAGCTGGGGACCATCCAAGCTTATTTTTAGGAGATTTTATTTTTTTCCATTCATTTTCCTTACTCTCTTGGAAGACATGGCAAATCGAACAGTCACCAGCTTAGGCCCAGGGTTTGCAGGAGATATGAATGCACTCTCAACAGTGCTGATGTGTATTTGATGTTTTTGTTTAAGATAAAAAAATACAGTAATATCTTCAGGTTGTTTAATGTACAAATGCTTTTCCACGCTTGCATTTCACGCGTAAGGTCCTCAAGTTGCCAAAGTTTGGAGTATGGAAGTTGTTGAACAATTAAAAAATCCTTCAGTTGGTGGGACCCGGACCTCTGTTCATACTTTAATAACAGTGACCCTAAAGAAATTTATTCTATACCATGCAGGCTAGAATTAATTGAATATTTGTCGAAAAATGTTCAGTTGGTTAGAACAAAAAAGACAGTTGGATCATATTCTCCTGTTGAAGTGAGCCTTAGATTTCACCAAGATCTAGGCTGATCATGAATAAAAAACCTCTTTTTATCTACTTTTACTTTAATGATCTATGGTGATACATAGACCTGCTACACATTGTCAATGTGGCAAATTGTTTGGTGACGAGTTGCTTGGCAATGAATTATCGACAAGGGAAATTATTCGTGCTGAAATGTCCAGCAAAGAATCAGCCGCAATGCATTCTGCTGTTTGTGGTTGAATAAGCTCAGGAATGATGGGGAAAAAATTAGGTATTCTAAATGATCTTTATACATTCTTCTCGATGTACTCATTAATAATTTATATTTTGCCCAATGTTTTGATGGATTTTGTTATTTACAGGCCACCATTACCAAATTATGTCACAGAAGAATTAACAAAATTAGTGAAGAATTGTGTTTCCACCAGCAATCCTGCACGGATACAGTATTGTGCCCAAGAAATTGTGATTACTAGAGAAAATCTTTTCAGTAAAATAGCCCGAGCCAGTATGAACATCCCTCCCAAAGATGTACACAACCATGTAAGTATTCTTGGAAGTCCATAAAATAATTTACTATGCTCTTTATCTCGTGTTTATTCTGATTGACTGGCGCCTTTTGTTAACATCCAGTTTGGTGATAGGATTTTGAGAAATATATGTTTGAAAAGTTTGGAGTTTTCTGTTCTTACTTATTTTTTTATCTTTCAGTTTGTACTGACCATATTATCTCAAGCTCATCTCTCGCCTGTTCCGCTATATAATTCTCCGATTTACTGGGATTGGGATGCAGCTCTCAGAATATATCCTTTACCTGACGTTTTGGTTTTGGCTGATTCAATAGACTCTTTTTCGTTGAAACAAAGCGGTGTTACTGTCTTCAACCCTGTGAGTAAATAATTATAGACGTTGTATGATGTTTTTATATTATTGCATCAATGTATTTATATTATTACACTTTTTCAAGCCTTAACCCTCTATGGTACAGCGTTACGAATTTGCAACAACGTATCTTCGGGGCTTTTAAAAACTGAATCTTTTCCCTGTGCCATGATTTTCCAAAATTTCTTTAGTTTTTTCTATTTTTAAAAAATTGATTCCCTTAACTTTAAAATTTTGGAAAAAAAATTGATATTCAATTTTTTTATGCAAGCTACAAAATATTAAGTGTCCCGTAGAATCTGAGATTCAAAAATTAATTCATGCCAAAGAGGGTTAAATACCTGTGGTAGAAAATTTAGGGAGAAACGCATTTTTTAGCCTAAAACAGGAAAACAGCTGTATTGACTGAAATAATGAAGCTGGAAGATGTAGTTATGAGAGGAACGTTTTTCATTGGCCTGAAGTTTATGATGTCATATGAGGCAACGACCCATGGTTTCAACCACCGTGAATCCAAAGTAACAAGGTTGCTTTTCGACCCTCGTAAGGAACAGACGATTTTACTCATGAAAAACGGAAAAAATGATCACTTTAGAATACAAACAGCGATGATAGAGCAAGCGCGGTTTCCGATGCGCTCATCATGATTTTTGATCAAAAAACAACTCTTATTTTTGCTCTAGCCAAAGTTTGCAACAGGCCCATAGAACAAATTTCAAACATAACATCTCACTGCTTTTTTTCACTGCTTAATACGAACTTAAATGAAGTTTGTCTGTTTCAGGGTTCATTTTCAGCTAGTAATTATGAATTCAAAGCCTACATTCCAGCATCAAGGACTGTAGAGGAATGTGGAGTAGGAGATGATCAGTAGAGAAAATTACTGGAGCCAATATAAACTCAAAAGTAAGACACCGTACTTTTCCTCATTCAGTAACTATTTCAGATATTTGTATTTAGACATTTCTTTTTCAAATCTAATTTAGAATATCCGTCAAAAATGAGTCCAGAATCTGAGTTCATTTTCACGCCAGGAGACGGGGTAGTTTTACATTTTAGTCGGAGGGTTTGGCGTCCTGGTTTTTTGCATAAAAACTTCAATGAGCTTTCTCTGACAACTAGAATTATTGAACAAGTAGCTTAAATTGTCATATGTTTGGACAGACATATTGTGTAAAACTTTGGTTATTAGTCATCATTCAGTGAAATAGAGGATTTAAAGCCAAAAAAATTTTTATGCCATGGGTCCATTGCGCTGGTCACAGATGCTTTATGCTTGATTCTTGTAGGTTAGCTGTAAATAATTAGATCTGTCTGAGAAGCAACTTTCTACGTTCAATATTAGTCGAGATTTCGCCCCTTCAAAAATTGGGTTTTTGACATCATCCACCGCGATAATTACACCCTTTGTTTCTTCCATCTTGCTTTCATCCGAGTTTCCCATTAATTAACCAGTGATAATGTGTGAATCACTAACTGATGAAAGCAAGGTGGAAGAAACCAAGGGTGTAAATCGAATTTTTCAAAGCGCAATATCTCGGTTAGTATTGAACATAGAAAGTTGCTGTTTGAACAGATCTTACTTTTTTTAGCTGATCTAGAAGAATCAAGAATCAAAGCACGATTCGGTGACCTGTACAACTGACCCATTGGGATGACACCAGTAATTTGTGTTGGTTAAATATTGTCTCCGGTCTGAGTTTTAAGTTTACAGACAGGGATATGTCTGAACACTGTAATAAAAGGGAAATATAGAGAAAGAATAAAACATCTAAGCCTAAAATGCTGTTTTTATTCCTTCAAGAAGGGTAACAAAACATCAACAGTCTTTTTGTTTACAACTATTTTGTAATGGTATATAATCAAATAACAAAACTTTAAAATTATTGACTCTTGGTGAGGGTCACCACAAAACGGACCTGATTCTCACTGGTAAACGTATCACGTCAAGATCACAACTGTATTTAAATCAATTCATGAACAAAAAGTAGCTGACATCCAGCTGGTTTAGATTTGAGTGCAGGAAATTTTTGCCCAGCACATCGTGCTAGATTCATGGAGTGAACTCACTTGATTGAATCTAAAGAAGGCTACATCTAAAGAGTTCATAAATGTTTTCAATCATTTGATTCCATGACTTACTTGCAAAAGGTTTAATGCTTAACTTGGATAACTCTGATTTAAATCAATTCAATATGGAAGAGTATTACTAGCTTATGAAGCTTCTCAAAATCATCCTAATGTATGTACATTCCAGCGCATCATCCAAAATTAGAGTTTCTTTATCTTCATAAATCCAACTTTTGAAATTTACTTTTGGTCATCTGTGCCAGCAATCATAAAGACTAATTAATATACCTGAAAATATCTGAATTGAAGAATAATATTTTTTGATTTGATCAGATTGCAATTATTTGATCATAGTTAATCACAATCAGTCCAAATCAACGAATTTGAGCTATAAATAGTTTCAAATTTACTTAATTTTGATCTTAATCCAAAGAAACACAAAAAAAATTCAGATATAGGTTTCCTTTCTTCATTTATTTCTTTCTTCAGTTTGACAAAAACCTAGAAAAGAGTTATTCAATAATTTTGATGGATTATTTTAGGGTCACCAAGAAATCCAGTCAAGATAAAATAAGTCAGCTTTAAAGCAAAAATAATTCAATTTTTATTGTTAAAACCGCTAAGCTGAGTTTGAATGAATTAAGAAATGAATTGAGGGTTTGGAAAATGGTCCTTTGTTGGAGTAGATTTCAACCTTCGGAAAATGATCGCAAACATTCAAATTATCTAGAGTCATCTTATCAGTTTCTGGCTGCACCAGCCAAAGAATCAGTTGTATCTTAATTCCAAGTAAAATTTTTGTAACTTGCAAGAAATTATTTTTGCAAATTAAAAGCGTTATAGGTACGGATAATTTCAAACACTACAGATAAGCGAAAATTTGGAGTTTGATGTTAATATATTCAAAAATTATACTGACGATAACTGTTATCTCATCATTTGAAAGTCATTAATTTATTTGCAAACACTGGACTGTAAGAGATAATCTCGCATGGACAAAGCATCTCTCCCGAAGTATGAAATTCTATGAAGCAAACAAAAAAAAGGAAAAACTGCAAAAAACTAAAATGAAAGGAAGTTCATGTACAATATTAAAACTTATTCAGATTGTAAGCTCTACTTTTGAAAAGTCTTATTTTCTAAAGAATGAAGTGAGTCGATCAAACTTGAGGGGAGAAAAAAGTCGTAATTTCGAGACCTGCTCAATTATGAGCAGTTGCTACTTCATTTTCTTAGATTTGCCAATGAGAGAATCAGGAGATAATTTTTGGACTTTAAGGACCCTTCAGTGCATGCATTTTTTGTTACATCTTGTAAACAGCTACCCATGACTAAGGTTTCCTTTTTGAAGCTGCAGCTCTGAGTCTTAATTCCAACACCCAATTCTGTAGCTCTTCCGCAGAAAATTGAGAAGCCAAATATCGATAGTGTAACGGTAAGAACACGTATCACGCATACAAACTTCCTGACATATTTTATTTTTTAAACAGAAAAATACTTAATGTCTTTTTGAAAACTTCAATGATTTTTCCTCTTTGTGTGAAGATAAATAGGTGCATGAAATTTTCAAGTAATAGCGTTGGTTCAATTTCCTTTAATAAAATAATTTGGAAAGGAAGATTTTAAATCACTGCAAGTGAGATACGCGTTCCTACAGTTTCAACGTCGATATGTAGCCTAAAATATCTTATAGCAATTGAATAATTACTCGTCAACAATAGGCAATACATAAACATGCATGAAAGAGTCTTGCAGATAACTAGCTCCAAAAAAAAAAAAACACTACATCATTTGGAAGATGGAAAAATATGCCAGAGGATACTTTAATCAGTTGACAATCCAGCAACTTAAATTGTCAATGAGCCATTAGACGAAGTCTGAGCTAAAAGAAAAGTCACTTGTGTTCTCGTCAAAGTTTTATGGAGAAAAGGATTCGTACAATTATCAACGGAATTAATTGGGAAGTTCAGTTGTCAACTTCTGAACGAGATATGAACCATCAAATTTTTTCAACACAGATCAAGTGGAAGTTATATCATACGAATGACGTTATATGTATTTTCACCATTTAACCGATGTTTATCGTAAACTCTCATCTGGTGTTTATGAGTTGTATTTCAGACCAAAAACATGTTATGCAATGTTTTAATTCATACCTTGTTTAGAAGCTCACTCCCTCTGTTTGCCAAGAAAGCAACTCCCCACTGAAGTGCGCTGCTTGGTTATGTTTAGTTGTAAAAATTACCCACAAGGACTCAGCTTTTATGTTTGATCAGTCTTTTTTAAATAAGTAATGTACCTCGCATTTATCTGTGTTCTTTTAAAACCTCTGCAGTAATTGATGGCACATTAAACATGCAAAATACTGAAGAACTCTTCGTTGCCTTTATTTGTATACTGAAAGTCATTCCTTCTCTAGAAAATACACTGCAGGAAGAAAATTGAACATTTTAATAGCATCATGTTATTTCTCAAATAGATGCTACACTTTCTACAGAGTATGCTGCGGCGCATATTGGTGTGTGTACGGGGCATTCAGGCCCCCAGCAAGCTAATGTCCGTTGCGCAGAAAAAGGATTGCTATGCAGTTTGAAGAGTATCCTATTTCATCAATATTTGTCCATTATTACATCTTCACATAATCTCAGACAACTGGCCAATTTATATTCAAGTGTCAGAAACAAACTATATCAGCAAGCCTCTTGACCTTTTCCTCTTGACTAGTAAAATAGATGAACCAGGCCTCTAGGTACGACAATTTTCTCAAGAGATACTTTTTTCTAGATAAAAAGACGAATTTAAATTTCTCAGGCTTCTACACTTCCTGAAAACTCTTGTTTTAAACTTGATCTCTTTTTTATCAAAAACTTTTCTGTTTACGAATGTGGAGGAAGCGTCTACTGATAGATTAATTATCTCTGGCTCCCGATCTCACAAAAATGAAGCAGTTATTTTTGACAGAATCAAATCTGCACTAAGTCATGGAATACAGCCAAATGGCACAAAGAGTCTTTCAAATAAATCAACATTCGTAACATCTCATGGAAATACATGTGCGGTCTACAAGTTTAAAGCCTTTACGCTTAAGTAGAGAGAAATAACAAAATGTCGAATATCGATTGAGAATCTTATGTTCAGATATTGCTCTTAGCGGTGCCTATATAAAAAAGTGTGCCCATTATATCATATTATTTAAAAAAATGAAAGTAGATTGGAAACAGTATTAAATCTATAGTCCTAGTTTAATTGACAGCTAATACCTCCCTAAAATAAATTATTAATCAAGAATTTACTTAAAAAATCTATAAGATATGAATTCTAACAATTAATATAATTGTTGTTTTACATTTTACATAATTCTTGATTTGCAAGAGATTTGCCGAAGAATGAAGCTACTACATTTTTTTTTCAGAGGGCTTTGACCATGTTTATACCTTGACTTTTCCTCTCCAAGAATGAAAAGCACCGAATAAAAAAAATCAATTTTGTGTTCGTCTTTTTGTACAAAAAAGACACAACAGTGGAATACATATTTTTTCAAAACCGAACGGTCTTTGCTGAGTGCATTTTGCATGGACCTATCAAAAGATAGAGAAAAGAAATTATCTTTAAATTCTTAGTGCTTTCATACCAACCTCAAAATAAAATTGAAAGAAAAAGAAGAAGAAAAACAGACTTTAAGCTTGGCAACTAAGTTTATCTTAAAAATAAAACCAAGAAGCATTCTAAAAGGCAATTGATCACCACAGATAAATAATACTTTTTGATTCCTAAGACATGATAGATTTATGTCTTTTCTGAAATGTTTCATTGACGAAAATGGAGTTTAGTTTATATTTATTTTTTTTCTCTTTCTTTTTCGATCTAAAGTAGATCATAATGAAATAATAATTCCTTTTCATAGTAGTGACTAAGTTTTTGATTTTATGTATAAAAATTTTGCAAGGATTTGAATTAGACTCTAGCTTGGTTCTCCAGTTGTTGATCATCACTGAAAACCTGAAGGAAAAATGCTCCTTGAGATTAAAAGAATGTTTTACAAAAGTTGAGCGGTGTGGATTGCACCCAGTATTTTATCAATATTTTGGCAATACCTTCTTCTCTATTTGGCTTTCTCACTACAGTTCCACTAGAATAATTAGTCTGTAGTTTCTCATTGAACTAATCTGCTGATAGGTACCCAATATGTATTAAAAATCCATTGATGCAAATGTTACATGGCTGTTAGCATACAGTCTACATTTCACCTGATCACGCATCTGTGTCTCAAAATCTAAAAGCAGATGTTATTGATTTGATTTAATTTTCTCTTTTTATAAAAGAAAAAAAAAAAAAATGAAGCAGGTCTTTCAAGGGTTTACTGAAAAGTATTTCAAGAACATAGCTTCGCCGAGTGAGGGTATCTCACTAGAAGTAATATATTGATTTTAGCGATGACTTAAAGGAAATTGAACCTAAAAAGTTATTAAACTTTGATTTTCCACTTGTTTTGCGTTCTCAAGAAATCTTCACTCCCAATTTTTCCATGAGCAGTTAGATAACAAAAAAGAACAGTAAAGAAATTAAAAGAACAAGATGAAAATGTCTATTATCTGCTGCGTAGATCCCATGGAAAAATTGGGAGAATAATTTAATATTCAGAGTTTTTAATTTGGCAGATGAACCACTGCAGTAAGTTTTTATCTGTGAATCTAAATTTTTATGGAGAAGGTA